TAATGGAGAAACCTCGCAATTTAACCCTATCAATGTAGTCTTTTTGCTTGTTTGTTTGTTTTTTACATTATTAACTGGAGAAAACATCGTTGCCCTTTAAAGAATGTTTAAGATTAGGAAAGTGACAAATCAGAAGGTGCCGAATCATGTTTAATGGTTTCCCATGGAAACGCTCACAAAATTGCCCTTGCTTAATGAGAGGAAGGGAAAGACAGGGACCTTGTCATGGTGGGAAAGGACTGATGAAACCTTTATGAACATTTTTTTCTGCTAAAGTGTTAACTACTTTTCTCAAAACATAGAAAACAGGTATTATCTATGGTTCTTTGGCCCCCCAGAAACTCAACAAGCAAAATGCCTTGAATACCCCCCCCCCAAAAAAAACACAGTTGCTGTGATCTTTGCTCTTGACCACGTTGACTGGACCACTTCCACATCCTCGCAGCCATTGTTTGGTGTGTTTTGTATCCAGTATCATCGTGGTAAAATGATGTCTCATCTCCGTGACAGTTCTTCAAAGAAGTGCTTCAGTAGCTGGATCCCACTTTTAAAAAATTTCCATAGAAATCCATGCTATTGCCTGTAGCTGATCTGTCACTCATTGACCCGAAAAATCCTCGACTTAGATTTTCAATTGAGATGTCTATGGTGTCGGCCATTCAATTGCACAGGATCTGAACAAGGTTCATGTTTTTCATTGAAAATTGATGTGGATGATCTACCTCTGTGAGCTTCATAGATAAACAGCATCCTATCTCTTCTTAAAAGGACATATCCACTTGTGAACTGCTTTATGGCATTAGTTCCACAGTCTTTTCATAAAGCATCAGTGATTTCACCATTTTCCTACCAAAGTTCACCATACATTTGATGGTTCTCTGACTTCAATTTTAGCAATTTTGTTCTTTCATTTTGTTCGGATAGGAGCTTTTTTCAAACTGATGTCGTATCCTTCTTAGTGCCTCAAACTAGATCTTGTTCAAATATGTTTTCAAAAGAAAGCACAAGTTTATTGTGGTGCAAAAAAAAATCTGTTTGAAATCCATGGATATATTTTTCATAATGTTCATTTTCCATGAACTTTTTGAAGTCTTATATTTTTAGTGTAGCCTTTTAAACCCTACAGTATGTATTACCTGTAAGTGTTAAGCCTTGAAAATAATTAAATGAAAGCATATCTCTTCACCAAACTTACTCACCACCATTGAGTTGATTCTGCCTCATGTTTAGTAAATACGCAATTCAAAGATTTTAAAATTCTAATTGATGGTGGAACCTTAGTCGTATAGTGGTTTATACATTGGGCTGCTACGTGCAAGGTCAGCAGTTTTAACTCATCAGCTGTGGGAGTTAAAGGTGAGACTTTCTGGCTCCAATAGAGATGTATATCCTTGAAAACTCACAGGGCAGTTCTAGTCTGTCCTATAGGGTCCTTATAAACCAGAATGGACTCGATGGCGGTGACTTTGGTTCTTATTGATAATGAATATTCAATGTGAACAAATGTCCCCATAGCAATTGATAGTTTCTGTGCCTGAAATTTTTAATCTTCTAGCCAACAGGTATTCAAGAAATATACTTCCTGTTAAATATCAGCCTAGTAGGGGAGTCATTGCTAGACATTTGTATATACTCATTAAAATCACATATCCATGTGCATATTCTGCCAGATTTACATTGTTTGGTCACTGCTTTAGTCTATCATATGAATAATTAACCCAATAAAAAAATTAGTGTATAGAGTTGTGAGTCTGAATGACACCTGCTCGAGATGACGGCAGCTCTGGGTGTCAGTTATTGGTCTTGCCTTGTACGTGTCAGTTCTGCTCTGGAAAGATACATGATAATTGATTACGATGTCCATTTAATACCATAAAATGGAAACTGAACATCCAGAAGGATGTTCCCCAATACTTCCCCCAACACTGAAACCAATGGTGAATTTGGTAAGTGCCCAGCAGAAGATATGGAAGAGGAAGAAGCATTTACAAGATCTAGGAACACTGATGAGATGGTTGAACTGCACATTCTGTTTCCGAGTAGGAATGCTGGGGCAGTGATTGGAAGAGAAGGTGAGAATATTAAGAATCTTCATACAGACTACAAGGCCAGGGGTTTGATCCCAGACAACAGTGCCAGAGTGCATATTGAAACAATTGGAGAAATTACAAAGAATATCCTCTCTGCGTGAGAAGAGGGCCTGTAGTTGCCATCATCCACTGTAACCAATCAGTTCCTGCTGGCATCTGATGGTGTAAAATGATTAAATTACCAATATTATAAAGAAAACAACTTTTCAAATTGAGACTCTTGATTCATCAGTTAGGCAGGAGGAATCTTTAGTGTCAACGGTGCTAAAAACAACATCAGCAACAAAAAACTTCATAAGAACTCTTCCACAATAATCAAGCTTTTCAGTAATACTATCTTCATTATACTGACAAGAGCTATTTTTATTGGAAGAAAACCTGATAGGGTTGCAGAATGCAAAAAGATCACCCTTGATCTATGTCTGAGTCACCCATCAAAGGACACGAACAGCCTTATGGTGCCAATTTTTACAGTGGAACCCATGGTGGTTTTACAGTGATGTTTGATGATCGCCTGTGGGGTTCCCCATGCAAGGAAGAGGTGCTTTTGACCGAAAGACCCCTGGTGAGGATGGATGTCCCATGCCTCCAGGGAGATGAGATTTTGCTGATATGAACCCTTACTGAGCACCTCCTCCTCCTAAACATGGTAGCCAGGGTGAAAGCCAAGCTCAATCTTCCTTTTCCTCCGCTGCCACCACATAGAGGCAAGGATCCAATGGCTTATGAGAGAAGAGGGAGACCTGGAAACCATTATGATGGTATGGTTGGTTCTAGTGCTGATGAAATTTGGGATTTTTCAATAGATGCAGGGAGCCTTTCAGAGTGGTGATGGCTAATGGATCATAGTGGCTCAGGATATGATTATACCTATGCAAGGGGTTGTGGGCCATATGGTGATCTTGCTGGGCCAATTATTACTACAAAAGTAACTATTCCTCCAGATTTGGCTGAACCTATTATTGGCAAAGGTGGATTATACAAAATTGTCATGAGTCAGGTGTCTCAATCAAAATTGATGAGCCTTTAGAAGAGTGTGAAGGTCCGATCATTACCATTACAGGAATCCAAGCTCAGATACAGAATGCACAGTATGTGCTACAGAACAGTATGAAACAGAATTCTGGAAAGTTTTTCTAAGACTAGAAAAAACTGGTCAGAAAAAAAAGAGAGTGCTGCACCTTTCAAATTAGTATCTGCTTCTGTTGAAAAAAATCAACATTCCTCTGCTTCATAGGTTTTCTGCATTTGAGGTTCAGGGAAATCTGACTGTTCACCAGATGTAATGTCATGGTTCCTTACAAACTGGGTGGGAAGGGAGGGTGTACAAACACTAATGTTGAAATTTTGAAAACAGCAGCAGAGTGAATGAATTTTATTTTTGGTTCATTGTTGGTGGTTTAAAACAAATACCCCCATGTAATGATTGTGAACAGCTTGCTTTTATGTTCATTTTAACCTTTTGGGGGTGAAATGAGGAGGAAATGTGAACAATAGTCCGCACGTCCTTGGCATTCAATTCAGAGCAGCCTTCCATAATGTAATGCTCTTTTGTAAGAAACTTACTCTAATTTAAAAAATAATTTAGTGAACCTAAAAAAAGACTCTATGTATAATATACAAGGGGGCTTCAAAAATTAGTTGAAAATATAATTAAAATATAATTGAATTTTTCCACAAAACTTTTTGAAGTCCTCTCATGTGTAGTTATTTGAAGCATAAACTTTATGTGAAGTATAGGTAATGAACTTAGCAAAGTTTACTCCATTCATATATTTAATGTTCGTAATAGATAATTTTGACAATACCCAAACTTAGCTGAAATGTGTGTTCCAGGACATGATCATCCTGAGATGGTGCTAACCATCCTGAAAGCTAAATAGAAATTAACTTATTCCCAATCAAGGCATATATACCTCTGTGCAATTTCTATTCCTTTTGTGTTTGAAGAAAAGTGTCTAAGTCATGCACATGAACAAAATATAAAGGTTTGTTTCTCTGCTAGTTTTCCTGTCGTGGTGAGTTGTTATACATCTGGGAAAAGCAACTTGAAAACAGAGGAAACCCTGAGCACAAGGCACTGTGTCACTGCGGTAGCCCAGTAAGCGTGTGAGGCTTGTTTTTAAGCTGAACTCAAGGCCTCCAGGCAGCAGAGGCAGCTGCGTGGTTATCCTGCATGAAGAAAACTCAGACATGCTCAAGCATTCATCTTGGCCCATTTATTACATTAGAGAGATTTTAAATTTTAATGTTTGTCTTAGCTCTGTCCAAGAGATGAATCTGTCTATACCGAAGAAGGTGTGTAAAACTGGCAGAGGCTATTCACCAACAAAAATCTCTGGGGCCTCCCCCCTCATATGGCTGCTAGCGAAGCGAATCATTTCATCATGTCTGCAGAGCCCCTGATTTCCGTCTTCGTGAGAAGCATAGCTGTCAGACTCAGCAATTCCCAGTAGTGTACTCTGCATCCAATTACAAATGTGTTCTTGGCAGTGAGGGATGGAAACTGCACAATAAGTCCCTTTTTGATAACCCCTGGAAAGTTTGCACCAGGAGTCCTTAAGGAAGATCCAAGGATGACTGGCTGGCTGCCTGTGAGCTGACCTTATGGTATTTTGTTTAACTTGGTCTTGAAATCTTGGTTTTTTGTTACATTGAAAGAAAAACAAAACCAGAGCATCATCATGCTGGGTGATTAGTACTACCACTCTTTCTATTGAATGTCCTTAGTTTTAGTGTTCATTTTAGAGGTAATGCATACAGTTGGGTTAAGGGTACTTGGCGATTTCTATCCAATATTGGCTTTTTTGCATGCATCAAAATGTAAAGAATGCTTGGGTGGTCAAGCTTAAAGTACTTCTGGAGCTGGGGTTCCAACTTTTAAGCTACATTTTTGTGTCATAATTACAGGTCCAGGAAGGTGGAAAAGGATGAATATGAAGATTTATCATCAAATAAGAAGTGGGTTTTGGCACCAAAATCCCAGGATTCAGATGTGACGCTTATTCTCAACAAGCTGCTAAGAGAATATGATAAAAAGTTGAGGCCAGATATTGGAAGTGAGTTCTTATGTATGTTATTCCAATTAAACATATGTCATGATTATAAATAATTTTAAGTTTTTATTTTGAAATGTAGATTCACAAGAATTTATATAGACATTACAGAGATGTCTTTGGTATTCTTTACCCTAATGGTTACATCATCTTTTGTCGTGGTTCAATGTGAAAACCATTGGTATATTGTATGTATACGTTCTACCCCATGTTGTTCCATATATAGATTCATGTCACACTACTTTAATCAAAACATGTAACTGTGACCTCCCCACAAAGATTTCCCATCGTCTATCCCCTCATAGTTATACTTACTACTTTCACCAAAGAAGCCTAATCCCTAATAAATCACTGATCTCTTCTCTACATCCATATTTTTGTCTTTTTGAGAATGTGATTCATGGAATCATTTAGTATATGACTTTTTGAGACAGGCTTTTATTCCCCTGTACTCAACAAATGATTCTGAGATCCAGTCAAGTTGTTACATGTATCAATAGTTATTTTTAATTGTGTTTTTATTATTTTATGGTATGAATGATCCACAGTGTGTTTAATTATTTTCTTGGTGAGGCGCCTTTAAGTTGTCTCTAGTATTGGGCAATTATAAAGAAAATTACCATTAATATATGTGTACAGCTTTTTATATGGATATAAAAATATTTAATTTCTTGGGCTGATGATAAATATTATTTCTGGAAACCGTCATACTCTTTTTTATAGGAGTTGTATCGTTGAATATTCCTGCCAATAATATGAATGAACCCGTTTCTTTGCAATTTTACCAGCAATTGGTTTTGTCACTGTTTTCAAAAAAATGTTTTTAACTTAAAAAGATTAATCGTGGTGAAATATATGTCATAAAACATTTCAACCATTTGTGTGTGTACAATTCAGTGATATTAGTTACAGTCACTACAATGTGCAAAAATTACCACTATCAATTTCCAAATTTTCTTTTACCTTTACTGTAAATTCTCTACTGTCATGCAATATATCCTTGTTCCCTTCTCACCTGCACACAGTAACCACTAGTGAACTTGCCAATCTGGATATTTAATATAAATGAGATCACACACTTGTCCTTTAGCATTTGGTATTTTCAAGATTTTACAAAATTTAAGCCGTTCTAGTATATTCACTGATATCTCACTAGGGTCTTTATGTATCAAGAATGTGAATGAAGGAGCCCTGGTAACACTAGTGGATAAGTATTGGGTAGCTAACCTCAGAATTGGTAGTTCAAACTCACCAACTGCTCCACAGGAAAGAAAATGAGGCTCTCTGTGCCAGAAAAAATTCACAGCCTCAGAAACCCTACAGGCTTAGACTCAGAGAATCATTTTGAGTCAGAATTTACTAATGGCATTGAGTTTGGTTTGGGAAGGTTAATGATATTGAGCTCTGTTTTCATAGATGTTATTTGACTTTTTTTGTTGTTTTTTCCTTTTGTGTATTTTGAATTATTTATGTATTTTAAGATATCATCCCTTGTCAGACATATGGTGTGATATATTTTATCTCAGTCTGAGGTTTATCTTTTAATCCTCTTAACTGTACTCTCACACAGCAAAACTTTTAATTTTGTTGACTTTTACTTTTATGGCTGAGTTTTTTGTAGTAAGTCATAGAGTGTTTTATTAATCACATTCTCCAAGTATTTCCTATTGTTTTTGCTTTTAAAACTCTTTAAATGTTATGTTTTACATTTTAACTAGTCATTCTTTGATGTAAATTTTATACAAAGTGTGAAGTTTAGATGAAGGGTTTTGTTTTGTTTTTCTCTAGATATTCAATGACAGCAGTACCATTCGTTAAAAATAAATACATAAAATCTAGTCTTACATTGAATTGCTTGACACATTGAAAAATAAGTACTTATGTGGGAATCCATGTAGCTTATATTCTGCCCCACGTACGTGTGTGTCTTTCAGCTCATCACTACCTCAGGATATTGATATCGATTCCTATCTACTAAGTGTACAGCTGGGTAGAGTGAATCAACTTCTTTATTTTTCAAAATGACCTCTTCTAATTCACCTGCCTTTTTAATAAATTTTTTAATGATCTTGTTTATATCTATAAAAACTTGCTTGGGTTTTGATGGGAGTTATGTTAAACCCATATACCAGTTTGGGGAAATTTTGCTATTCCAAACTCATAGCAAATATCTCTTTAAGGGAAATTTTAGATCTTTAATTTCTTTTATCAATTTCAAAAGAAATCTTACCATACACGTTCTGGGTATGTTTGTTAGATTTGTATCTAAATACTTTTTTTTGAATGACTGTAAATGGTACTGTGTTTTAAATTTGGTTTACTGCAATTTTATAAAAATGCAATTAACTCAGATAAGTGAACCCTCGTTTATCGCGGTTAATCGGTTCTAGACCCTACCGTGATAAATGAAATTCCGCGAAGTAGGATTCCTTATTTGTAAATCAAATATTTTCGTAGTTAGAGCATAGAGGACATGAAAAAACACCCTTTAGTCACCATTACACTCCTATTACCCAATTTATTAAACGAAAAAGGGAAAATACAGTAAAACATTTTGGACGTTACAATGATCATTTATTATTTATTGTATTATTTATGGCATCTAGTTTACAGTATTACATATTTCACATACAGTATTATTATACATAGTTCTTACAAATACTGTAATCAATAGCCTATGAAATGACTTAAGGGATGTACTCTACAGGTGGGTCGCCATCTTTTTCCTCTGAAGGAGCGGGTGTAGGCAGTGGGTGCTGTTACGCAAAAACCGCGATAGAGTGAAGCCGCGGAAGTCGAAGCGCGAAGTGGCGAGGGTTCACTGTACTCATATTATATCCTTCAACTAACAAACATCCTTCTTAGTTTTAGGATTTTAACTAGATTTCTTAAAATTGCCTATCCCATCATGTCATCTACAAGTAAGGACAGTTGTGTTTATTAGTTTTCAGTATGCATGTCTTTCATTTCTCTTTTCATGCTGGCCAGAACTTCGAGCTCGGTTTAAAAGAGTGATGAAAGCAAGTAGCCTTTCCACTTCTCAGAGCTGGTGGGAAACACTCAGCCTTTCACCAATAAGTGTGTAGTTAACATATATTTCTTCCGTTGAGAAAGTTCACCTAGTTCTAGTTTTCTGAAAAACCATTTGTTGTTTAATACTGACTGGATGTTGGGTTTTTCCAGATGCACTTTCTGTACTGCTCGATATGGTCATCCACCTTCCAAGTTGGCAGTTATCAGCTGCAGCTGAGTTGATTCCATCTCCTGGCTACCACCTGTGTTTCAGTGTCACTATGATAGCCCCAGGGGGTTTCCAGTAGCTGTGACCTTTACCCCCCCCCCCCCCGCATTTTTTCCAAAGTATCTGTAGGTGCATTCAATCATAAACTTTTTGAATAGTACCCTAGTGCATAACTGTTTACAATACCCAGGGAATACTTATGTGGTGCATGACAATGATTTATTTTCAAATATTGAAGCAGCCTTTCATATACCCCACTTGATTATAGTGTGGAGGCAGAGATGGTTCAATGATAGAATATTGATCTTCTATACAGAGTTGGATGCTGGCCAAGTTCCTTAAGCATAGCCATAATCCATCCATGGGGCTTACATGTGAGTATGATGTTGAACAGATTTCACTAGAGAGTGTAAGTTAGATGGAATTTGAAAAACTACCTGGAAGTCTACTTTCTCACAGTCAATTTCCATCACCTGCCAATCACAACTGATCTTGAGGATGGCAATAGGACTGTGCAGTTTTTCATTCTGTTGTGCATGACATCACTATGAGTAGAGGACCAATTCCACGAGAGCTAACATTAATGACTGTAGCTTTAAGTTTTTTCTATCATTGTTTTAAAAAATGTATCTAGGTTGAGTAGCAGCGTAAAGTAACTTCATAACATGAGTTGTGAAATATTCTCTCTTTTGTTTTCTAGAGTACATGGTGTAGAGTTTCATAGTAATTCTTCATTTAAGTGTCTCATAGAATTCTCCACTGATACATTCAGGACCTGTATATATTTTTTTTTGGCGGAACATTGTTGTTGTTTATTTCAAACAAATTTCTTTATTTTAAAAATCTACTTTATATGGGGTGAATGGTGGTCATTTGTGCCTTTTATGTAATTGCATATTTTATAAATTGTTAAATGTTTATGTATAGACTTGTTCTTAATATTCCCTAATACAATTCTGATGTACTTTCTATTTTCATTTTTCTACTTGGTCAGTGTTTGCTCATCTTTTTTTTATTTCATTGATGTTGTCAAAGAATTAGTTATCTGTTTTATTGTTTTTTCCTATTATTTTTTCATTTTCAATGACTTCTGCTTTTTTCTTTATTGTTTTCTTTTTTAATTGCTTTGCATTTGTTATTCTTCTTGAAGTAGAATGTAGATCTTTGATTACAGTACACATCTAGTACTTAAATTTCACTCTCAATACTGCTTTAGCTATGTTCCACACATTTTGATGTACCTTATGGTGGCATAATGATTACACATTGGGATACTAACCACAGAGTCAGTGGTTTGAAACAACCAGCTACTCTGCAGGAGAGAGAAGAGGCTTTCTACTTTTGTAAAGAGTTACCATCTCAGAAGCCCACGGGGGCAGAACTACCCCTGTCCTATATGAGTTGGAATTGATTTCATGGAGTGAGTTTAGTCTTTTCTCATTCATTTTCATTCTATTGGATCTATCTTTGTATTTACTTTAAGACTTTCTTTTGATCCATGGACTATTTAGAAATGTGTTTCTTAGTTTCCAAATATTTTGGACTTTTCTTTTATCTTTCTGTTGTTGATTTTTAGTGTGATTTCATTTTGGTAATTACTCTGTAATGAGTTTTAATTTTTAAAATTTGTTAAGGGTTTTTTCATGGCCCAAGATATGTTTTGTTTTAGGATATGTTCTGTGGGCAATTAAAGTAATGTGTACTCTAGTTTTTTGAATTTATTAGATCTTTAGGGTTGATGATCTTTTTGGGTTCTTCTACA